AACAATATCTTATAAAATGAGGTAGGGGAGAGCTAAGTCAACGAGCCAAGAGACAATAAAAGTCAAGTTTGTCAGATCGTGATAATAGTTTTGGGAGGAAAAAAAAATGAAGCAGGATAAGGAGAATTGAGTGGACCAGGGCAGGAAGGGAGGGTTTGGAAAAGTACATGCAGGGTCAGGGAAGATCTCACTGAAGAGGTGATACTTAGGAAGAGATCAGTAAGACGTGAGAGAGCAGATCAGGTGGTTTTTGGAGGAAGTGCTGTCCAGGCAGTGGGAGCAGCAGGGAAAGACTCATGGTTGTACAATGAGTGCAGAACCTCAAGGAGGACAGTGAGCACACCAGGAGAGGGCAGGAGGGGAGGAAGAGGAGTCAGGGGCAGGCAGGGAACTGAGGCCACTTCACAGACTTCAGCTCTGACACTGAGGAGGAAGGTGACCGGGCCATCACTTTATTCTGCTAGGCTCATTCTAAGGAACACTGATGGTGCAGTGGTTAAGTGTAAGCTCGGCTGCTAATCGAAAAGTTGGCTGTTTGAACACATCAGCTGCTCCACAAGAAAAATATGTGGCAGTCTGCTTCCATAAAGACTACAGCCTTGGAAACCCTATGTCACAGTTCTACTCTGTCCTACAGAGTCGCTATGAGTCAGAATCGACTGAACAGCAACAGGAAAGGCTCATGCTGGCTGTCATGTTGAGAGTGGACATCGTCCTGGGAGGCAAGGGCAGAAGTGGAAGACTGGTTAGAAGGCTCCTGCAGAGAGACGAGAGATTGAACTGGTTTAGACAAGGATGAAAGCAGTGGAGGTGATATGATGTGGTTCCGTCCTGGTAGAGGTACATATCTGAAGGTAGAACTGCCAAAATTTGCTGAAGGATCAGATGCAGGGTATGAAAGATGAGAATTAACGGGGACTCTGGTTTCTGGTGTGAGCAAATGGATCAATGGGAGTTGCCATTTACCCAGATGGAGTAGACTGTGGAGGTGCAAGTGTGAAAGGGTTAGGAGTTGTTGGGACACAGTGGGCTTCAGAGCCTATTAGACAAGCACATGGAGACACCAGGAAGGCAGTAGGGCTGGAGAGGTAAGTTTGGTGTTGTTATCATTTATATGGTGGCTTAAGGCAGCATATAGTCTCCTCCAACTCAGAGGGCTGGAAAGAGACGAGGAAGAGATAGTAGAGGGGACTTAGTAGTGGCCGGTGAGCTAGGAAGGAAACCTAATGGGGGACTTATTCCAAACATTAAGTGAAGACAGGGTTTCAAAGAAGAACAGTCAGGTCTATCCAATGTTTCCGAGAGTTGAATGAGACAGGGGAAAACTTAGTCACTGGAAAAAGCAGAACAATGGTGGCCCCTGACTGGGGGCAGGTGTTAGAGTTGGGCAGGTATTGGCTGGTAAGGGACATGAGGAATCATCCTGGGGTGATGGAGAAGTTCTGCTTCCTGAGGGGGTTGGGTTGCAGAGCTGAAGGAACTCCTGGAAATTCTCTGAAGGGTACACTTAAGACTTGTGTATTGTATCGTATGTACATTTTACCTCAAAATTAAAAAAAATAAATACACAAATATGAACTCTAGTCAAAGATCTGTATGCCAAAGTGTTTGGGTGAAGTGCCCCAATGTCCACTATCTTCTTCGAACACCATTAAAAACAAAACAAAAAAGAGAGAAAGACGGATAGATGGGCAGATACATGAGAAAGCAAGTGTAGTCAAATGCTAATTACAGAATCTAGGAGGAAGTATGTGGGAATTCACTGTAAAATGCTTTCTACTTTTTAGTATATTTCAAATTTTTATCAAAAATTTGGGGAGAGAAATGATTCATCAATAACTTGGAAGTTATTGGTTTGCACACTCAAAGCTGTGTTGGTGGAGTGGTGGGAACAAAAGCCAGATTAAGTGTGAGTTTAACTGAGAATGTGAGGAGAAAGAATGGCGACAGCGAGGTGACACTGCCTTGGAGCAACCTGCTATAAAGGTGAGGAGGATGCCAAGGAGTAGGAAAGCAGGGAGGGTCAAGCGGATACAGTACAGCATGTCCTCGAGAACCACCCCAGAGAGATGCTGATGGTGTAGGAGCAGTGGGGGACAACTGTTAAAGCAAGGCTCTCAGCAGGCACGGACGGATGGGACAGCTAGGACCTTGTGCACAGGAGGAGGTCTGTCAGCCTCAGAGGGGAGGACAGATCATCCATCAGTGACAAAAAGAGGAGAGCTAGAGTGGGTGGGCACAGATGCTGGGAGGAGGACACATGGAGATGGGATACACCACTGAAGAATGTTCCTTTAACTTCCTACAGGGGAAACTCTCCAAGGTTTCTACCTTATCCACTACAGGTTCTTCAAATGGCCTTCAGTTCTTCACACAACAGATGGTTTTAAGTGAATTGTTTTCAATCCTTCTTCCATCTGTAATCTCACTAATACTGACCTGCTCAAGAACTACCTGGGAATATCCTTTGCATCCACTTTTACTTACCCACCCCCTACCCCCTACTTTACAAAGAAAGGCATATCTCCTTTACCCCAAATATTGGCACTGCCCTCAAAACCAAGGCAGGGTCAATTCTAAGTATTGGGGTCTGTGTGAATCATGCTAATGATTAGGTGAAAAGTACCTTTATGGGTCAGGTGGGTTTTAATTCTTTTAATTCTCTGCTTTCAACAAAAATAGAGAAATCAGGTTGTCAGCTGATACATCTTGATGAAAACACCATCATTTCTGGCATATAGCCTGGATGAAGTTCAAAGAATTCAATAACAATCCTATAACAAAATGCCTTTAATTACTAACTACACATTTTATGACATCTATTTAAAAATTATGAAACTGATGATGAAACCTGTATTATTCTTTCATTTCTATTAATAAAAAATAGTAATCTATAGATATTGTTATTGTTGTTAGCTGCCATCAATTTGGTCTCCGTCTTATGGCGACCCCATGCACAATGGGATTGGACCATTGTGACCTTTATGGTTTTTACTGGCTGATTTTCTTCCTAGTCTGTCATAGACTGGAAGCTCTGCTGAAACCTGTTCAATGTCATAGGAACATGCAAGCCTCCATTGACAGACAAGTAATGGCTGCACTTAAGGTGCATTGGTTGTGAATTGAACCCAGGTCTCCTGAATGGAAGAAGAGAAGTCTACCACTGAACCACAACAGCCCTCAAAATCTATGGATGTTGTTGTCTGCCATCCAGTCAATTCTGACTCGTAGAAATCCCCATGTAACAGAGTAGAACTGCCCCATAGGGTTTTCTAGCCCATAATCTTTATGGGAGCAGATGCCAGGTCTTTTCTGCTCTAGCAACACTGGGTGGGTCTCAACTGCCTATCTTTCAGTTAGCAGCCAAGTGCTTAACCACTGCACCCCCAGGGCTCCTTTAATATATGAATACATAAATTAATATAAAACAAAGCCCTGTCCTTTGCACAAATAGATGAATTTCTAATAAAAACTATTTTATGTTTAATAATGTCTTATCAAAAGTTTTTAATTTGTATGTTTATAGTGAAAAATTTATACTTTATGTTGCCTTGATGAATTATGTACTAATAATAATTGTAACTGTCAGTTCAGTAGAAAAAAAAAGTAACACTTATGGTCTAAAGGAATAATTTGTATGTAAATATTTGCATTTGAGAGAACCAAGGCAGACTGATTAATAAAATACTTTCAAACATAAAACTGTATTATGTTAGGATAAAATTCTACACAGAAAGCAGAATAGAAACATAAGTACAAAGAGGAAAAGGAACTATGTAAAATATCTAACAGTTAGAGAAGGGCTTGTTCATATATTTTTAAATGAATAAAATGGATATTAAATTATTATGATATTTGAATTCCACTTAAAATAGAGATTAACAGTTTTGTTTTTAAATGTCAATATTTACAATTTGCTGGAAGTTATTTCACTTGAAATTAATTAAATTTAGGTTAGAATTTTATATATCAAATTAAAAATCTGTGAAGGGAACATAAACCAACCAAACCCATTTCTGTCAATTCAATTCCAACTCATAGTGACCCTACAGAACAGAGTAGAACTGCCCATAGGGTTTTCAAGGAGCAGCTGGTGGATTCGAACTGCTGACCTTTTGGTTAACAGCCAAATGCTTAACCACTGTGGTACAAGGGCTCCAAATGGAACATAGCCTTTCAAAATTCTCGTAGAAGTTAGTAGAGCAGAAAGTATGAAGACTTCTGGCTTAGGCAAGGTGCATCTGATTCTCATGAGCACCTCATGGAGGTCACAGGGGAAAGGACAAGTGCTTGGAGGCCTGGGGATCTGGACAGGGCAGGGTATCTAATGCAGCCCTGCATCTCATTACATGTTGTCTTAGTCACCTAGTGCTGCTGTAACACACACACTGCAAGTGAGTGGCTTTAAAAAATAGGAATTTACTGTCTCACAGTTCAGAGTTCAAGTTCAGGGTGTGGTTCTAGGGGCAGGGCTTTCCTTGTTAGCAGCCTGAGGAGTTCCTAGGAGTTCCTTATCGTTCCTTGGCCTTCTTTGGTGTCTGTCTTCCCCCTGAGTCTTTGCCTGTGTCTCTGTGTCTATGCAGCTGTTTTTATAACCCAGAAGGGATTAGATTGAGGACCCACCCTACTGTGCATAACCTCATTAACATAACAACAGAAAAACCATACTTCCAAACAGGAATACATCCACAGGTATAGGGGCCAGATGTCCAATACATGTTTTGTGAGGGACACAATTCAATCCACAACACTTGGGTCACATGAAGTGTTATTTTTGAAATTTCCCCAAATCACCCTGTAGTAAATAAAATACAACATGTGCCCAGCACTGCAGAATGCAGTGTGATGCATCCAAAAGCAGGACATCAGGGTGACAGCAGAGTCAGGGTGACAGTTCTGGCTTTTCTAGGGGACCTCTGATCTTGCTGCAAACCCAGTACAGGCATCTCAGGAGCCAGAACAGGAAGATGGGGGTATGGACTGCCAGTGACTTAACTTACCATTTGTAGCCAAATGTTGGTGGTTAAAACTTGGTTCTTCTCATCCTAAAAAAAAAAAAAAAGAAAAGAAAAAAAGCATAAATAGGGTTTGTATGGTGTTACAGACTGAATTATGTGCCCCCCCACCCCCCACCCCCCGCCAAACATGTGCTGTAATTCCTAACTTCTATGCCTGTGGTTATAATCCCATTTGGGATTGGGTTGTCTTTGTTATGTTAATGAGGCAGGATTAGTGTAGAGTGTATTGTGAGTCAATCTCTTTTGAGATATAAAAGAGATTAAACAAGCTAGCAGAGCAGAGACGGGGGAAGGCGGATGCCAAGGAACATGGAGATGTCCAAGGACCCGGGAAATAAGATGAAGAAACAAGGACTTTCCCCCAGAGCCGACAGAGGGAGAAAGCCTTCCCTAGAGCCGGTACCCTGAATGTAGACTTCTAGCCTCCTAACTATGACAAGATAAATTTCTGTTTGTTAAAGCCAACCATTTGTGGCATTTCTGTTACAGCATCACTAGATAACTAAGACATATGGTTTACAAAAGAAAGAATGATACAGTTATTCATTTAAGAATACACCAGGCACTTCCAAATATATTTCAAGTAGCATTTCCTAGAGTTATGCTTTTTATTTGTTCTGAAAGTAATACACATTTATCATAGAACATTTACAAAATACAGAAAAGTATAACAGAAGACAGAAAAGAGTAAAGAAGAAACTTAAAATCCCACAACTCCACTACCTACAGATCATGCCTGCTAATGTTTTAGCATATTTCTCTTCATACATTTTTTACAACTTACATACTTAAAAAAAAAACATAAAATTGAGTGCATAATCAAAGTTTTTAAAAGTCAGACTTATTACCTGTTACCAGACTTATTCACATTTAAACAATAAAAATGCTCTCTCTTCCATTCTCCCTGCAGGAGGCATGGACCTGGGCTGAGCCTAGAGGCCAGGAGCTGATGGTGCTGGGCAGGGCCACATCTGCATGGTTCCCCAGGTTTGCGTCTGCTCTTCCCTCATCCTCTGTCCACCAGGCAGCATTCCAAGCACTGGACACACAGCATCCTGCAAGGTTAATGCTGTCCAAGGGAGTAAGCTAGTGGTCAGGAGGGTGAAGTAAATGTCCAAGGGCAGAGCGCCATGGAACTGAGAACCTGGGATTCAAACTGGATCTTTCTGACTCCAGAGACCACTTTCCCCCCTCTCCTAACTGTACATCTAGTAAGGGATCCAGCAGGGCACCAAGTCTATGCTCTAACCAGGAGCTCAGGGTCCTATATCACTGTGGCTTTGCCCAGGCACAGGGCATCTGAAAAAGCTTCTAGTCAAAATCTGTCTGTCCAGCTGGAATGCAACCAACACTCACTCCATCACAGCTGGCCAAGCCCAATGTGGCCCAGCAAAGCTAGCGTGCCAGGCGACAAATGAGAAAGTCCCATGCAGTGGTCCTATGAACGCTGAGGTTCAGTATTTAATACTCAATCACAACCTAAAGGACTCTGTGAACGAGAAAAGGCTTCCCTCTCCCAGAGAAAGCGTTTATCAATGCCTCCGTGGTAATGTGCCTGATGTGAGAACAGGAGCTACTTCAGCAGGAGCCAGTAGGCTCAGCTCAATGAAGGGCAGTCACCAGGAACGACCCAGAGGAGGTGGAGGCAAGAGCTTGGCATCTCCAGCAGCGTGGTCAAAGGGCAGTGGATGCAAATGAGAAAGAAAAGCTGTTGCTCATTAAAACAAAAACGTGTTTCCCGAGTAAGGAGGTGACAGTGACTCTTTGATGTATCAACGATCTTCCCCTAGCCACTCACACCTGGACACCTTTGAGGGATGAGGTTGGGGAGTGAATCCCACAGAAAGGATAGGGCTGCCAGGGGAGGGGAGTGGGGGCGGGGATGAGATGATGCCCCAGAGGGTTCCAGGCCATGGGCTGCGTCCAGAAGAAGTTGCCAACTCACTGATGGGAAAAAATACATCCCATTTTCCAAAATGAAACATGCCAGGATTTTTTAACGGAAAAAGTTTCTGGGCTAACATTTCTCTGTACTCTGTACTGAGCAAATGATCCATGGCAGAGCCACAGATTTAAGCTGCACAAGTACTCTCGTCTCAGCTCATTCCCTACTGTTACCAGAAAGCACTGCTCCACTCTTACAGGACATATATCTGTTGCCTCAGCTGATTAAGGAGCTGTTGTCTTTAATGGACTTAAAATTAGCAAGGGCTCCATTTAGGTGCCTTTCCTTCTTTTAATTGCCATTTGTGTCTTCCTCCACTGAGGGGAAGGCTTCTGTGGTTTGGTATCTCAATTACTACCAACCTAATTAAAAGGCTTTCTTCTTTCCAACATTCTAACTCAAACCTCATTAGAGGGAAACTGAATTTCTGCGCTGTGTGGCCGCATGGGACTGAATACGGCATTTCAAACTGTAATCAACTCAGAGAAGCAGCCAGCCAGCCCCCAGGAGTGCCCAGCGGCCATGGGGGACCATCTGCAGAGAGGCCCACCAGGGCAGCACAGCTGATAAACAGCCTCCTCCAGAGGAGCAGCTTCTAGAACCTGTAAAGCAACTACAGTGTCTGCACTGGAATCCCCAGATGGTGCCAATGGTTAATGTGCTTGACTGATAACTAAAAGGTTGAGGGTTCGAGTCCTCCCAGAGGCACATCGGAACAAAAGCCTGGCAATCTGCTTCCTAAAAGTCACAACTACTGAAAAGCCTATGGAGCACAGTTCTACTGTGCCACACATGGGGTCCCCATGAGCCAGGGTCTACTCAAAGGCGACTGATATCTGCATTCCTGGTCAGTCCCCTTCCTCCCCTCCCCAACCCAGAACCACTCACCAGTTTGGTGTCTCTTCTGTCAATCTGCACCGTGATGAGAATCTCCCATCTGCTACCCACCATCCATGTGCAGTGTCCCCCCACCCACCCAACACACACACCATCTGGCCTCCTCAGTACCCCATAGATGGGGCTTGTGGGTCACCAGTACAGTCAGATCACCTTCCTATTTCTGACACTTCGATGGCTCCTCATTGCACAAAGAATTCAGTCAATAGTCCTTAATGCAGTACACAGAGTCCTTTCTACAGCAAACTAGTCCAGCCATGTCTCCATTCATTCATTTTTCATTCATCGAACAAATATTATTCATGCAGGAAGTGGCATGCAGGGGGTCACTCCCACTGCCCAGAATCTACTTATTAAACATACTCCAGCTCCTCACCCTGGGAGGGAAACTGCCTTCTCTGTCACTACTGACACTAAGTAGCCTCTAAATACCCACAACCCTCCTGGGCAGCCCTTGAACGTGTTTAAAATCGTGACTCAGAGGATGAAGCTGAACTCAATAGGCACTTCATTCACAAGCTCAAATGCACACTGGTCCAAACACTGTGGCTTTTGGGGCGGGCAGGGGGGGAATGGTCATGAAATTTCCAAACCTCTAGCTGGCCAAAGGGTCACGGAATAAACAATTAGGAAGGACCCCTGAAGAACAACATTCCACAGGTGCCCTCGCTGGGGATCAGCAAACAGCACGCCACAGGAAAATAGGTTTCAGTGATTCCAGGTAATCCAGCCACCCATCATAAATGCCTCGACTCAAGAGAGCTGGACAGTGCGGAGGAGCAGCCTCCAAGCCAACAAGATCCAGCCTCAGCTCCCTAGTCATCAGGCACTTCCGCTTCTGTGGGCTTTGACTTCCTCATCAAGGAAATGGGCAGGATGGCAGCTGCCCAACCACTTCCTCAAGTTGCTGGGACAGGGCAGAATCATACAAGCCGTGAAATGTCCCTCAGTGCTGGTGGCTATCGATGTGCGGCTGCTTGCTTGTACATGTGCACACAACACTCACACATGCACACACTCATACATGCACACATGCACTCATTTGTGCACACTCACACACACACATGCATACTGTTTCACACATGCACATTCACACACACATTTGCACACTCACATGGGCACACATTCACACATGCATGGGCACATGCATACACTCACACACATGTGTACACACACACACATACACATTCACACATGCAAAGCTCTCCCACATGGCCAACACTGCTTTCTGCCTCTGGGATAAAACAAGATTCATGGCCCCTCATAGAATCACAGTGGCCCTTGCTAAACACCCAAATTCCACCTGATCCAACTGCCCCCATTTGACAGAAAAGGAAGTTCCAGAGGAGGCCTTTTTTTTAATCTGAGCACTTTAGTTAAGAGTATAATTTAAGCAATGAAGCGTTTTCAAATCCATTTTTCAGACCTATTTATTTACTCTGGAGGACAACTGCACTGTTGGCATGCGATGTGCTATCTTGCATTTCTACAGCAACGATTCTTTTAAAAGGAAGTTACAGGGCAACATTATTCAGCATTATTTTACAGAGCTTTAATCACTCTCCCTTTGCTTTTGAGTGGAAGCTGAGAAAAATAAACAGATAACAATAGATCTTGTCATGGACTGAATTGTGTCCCCAAAAAATATGTCAGAACTTCCAGGCAACATGGCGCTATAGTCAGAATCACCACACCATCCCTCCACAGCAAAGATCCAAAAAACTAAGCCAGAGTCACACGTCAGTCCTGAAACCCTAAGCATCAAATGAAGAGATAAAGAACTCAGACAGGCACCTAATGGAATAAGAAACTGACCAAGAACAGAGAGCAAGGAGAGATACACGCAGAGGTCCCGTATCAGCTACTGCAGCACAGATCCGCCATCTTGGACTCCTATCAGAGATCGGTGAACAGGGGGTACGAGAAAGCAGATTCACAGAGCTTCCAGCAGAAGACAGAAAAGCCAGTAACCCACGATATATGCTTTCCCATCCCCCACCCTTCTTCACCGCCACTCAGCATCCTCTACTTCCTGAGGCCACAATGTCTTGGCCAAGTAGCACCGGCTTCACCCTGGTGTCACTTGGATTCCACCCACCCGCACTGGCTGGCTCCCTGAGTGCCATCTGTTGGCTACTGGTGTTGCTTTTTTTTGCTTCATTACATTTCTTCCTTACCTCTCACC